TGGGAGGCCTGCCCCTTTCTGAAAGAGTGCATGGCGGGGAGGGATAAATGAGAGGGGAGGGGAGAAAACAGGAAGAGAAGGCTGGGGAAACTGGGGTTGGTATATAAAATAAATGAAAAAAATTAATTAAAAAAAACAGTGTCTCGCAGCTGGAGGGAGCTTTCTCCTTAAGGGATATTTCACAATGTTTGGAGACATTACTGATTTCACATCTGGAGGTGGGGTGTGCTCCTGGCCCCTAATGGGTGGAGCCAGAGATGCTGTTCTGTATCATCCAAGACCTGGGGCAGCCTGCCACAGCAAAGCAGCTTCTGGCTGGAAAAGTGGTGGTACCACAACCAGACAGAAAAGTCAACTCTTCCTGAGAGTATTAGAGACACATCAATAGCTTTGCCTTATTCATATTTAATTCTGTTCTCTCTGCTGTGTTTGAAGTGTATTTTTAGGAATACCTGGTGCCTATCCTCTGTGATTTCTGCTCTTACATCTGCAGTCTGAAGACTGCTGCCTGCTTACATGTTCCTATTTATGAGTTTTAGTTAATCCATGAGCTTAAACTATATCATAACGTGTAATGAGGGTTAGAAAGAAACAAAAATTACTGTTTAACTCCCCCAGCGTCATGTGGGTTATACACTAATCTTCCTGCAGAGGAGAGTGCTAAAGAAAACAAAAGCAAAACAAAAAGTGTGTTTTTGAGAAATTAAATATTCACGCCACTCCTTTCATCCAGGCACATTGTCCTTCTGGTGGAGGCTAAATTCCAAGTACTGAAAGGACAAATTAATGCATTTTAGCATACTCTGGTGTAAAATTCAGTGTTTAAAAAATATGGTCTTCTAGTTATCACCATTGCATAAGGGATACAATAGAGAAACACCCAATAGGCAGACTTAATGTTTATATCTGCTTAGATTGTGTATTTAAAATAAAGGAAGCCATATGCAACATATAGGTCTCAGAATTAAAAAAAAATAGTAGCTGTAATTATTAAATTTATATTGAAAAAACCCATTCTGTTGCTTCATTCCAAGCAGTAATCCAGTTAATAAAAACAAAACAAAAGGAGGAAAATGTCACATTAGACGCATCAAGTAGATTGCAGCTGAGAAAGATAAATCTGTAAGGATGTCATTTGCTGAGAGGTAAGAGCCTGCAGTTTCCTCCTTACTTTCTCTCATTTCATACAGCTCCGGTTAATCTCACAGCCTCCACAGCACGAAACGAGGAAATTGGAAAGCTACAGAATCGATTTGCAGAAGTGAGGTTCTATTTTCTCTACCTCCTCCTTCATCAGAACTGCTATCACTTCTGTGCTGTGTGGGATTGTTATTGACAGTCACCTGTGCACAACTGATAATTGCTAAAAGTCATTCTCTAAATGTTAAGGCACACACAAAAAGGTGACTGCATTTTCCCCTCATTTTTCAAATCTGTTGCTTTCATGATCCTTCATCTCTACAATTTAAAGGTCAAGACTCTTCTCAAGCCGCTATCACAGCGGTCCTCTTTGCTTTTGGTGCAGAGGAAACATATATGGTGAGAAAGCTCCAGTGTCTAACTTACATGCAGTTCTTAGCATGTTCTGTGTTGCTTTCACAATTTCTATCCTTTATATATTTTACTCTAAACTGTAACTATGTAGGAAAATTGCTTCAAAGGACAACACAGTGCTGAATACATTAAGAAAACGGGATTGTTTTTGCTGCTGTCTTTCCAGGCTGTGCACAGGCTTTATAGGTTCTTTGAACTTAGAGCTGCCTTACTCAAAAATAAAACTATAGCTTCTGGCCATTTGTTATCTACTCTGAAATTCTTAGCTGTATTCTTAAAAAGCACTGAAAATTAGTAGAATTAATTTCTCCAACTTTGGGAACCTTCAACTTATTCTGTTCAAAAAGTGCATTAAAATAATAACAAAATCTTCAGTAGGCAATACCACGTGACCGGTAGTGGAGTCTATTTATAGGGTGTCATATGAATGGGAAACTTAGAATTACAATTTTTTATTTTTCAAATTTAGATTTACTTGCTGTACTTTTTTTTAGTCTGCCCTGTCCCTAAGTTGACAAATCTTTGTCTGTTAAGGGATGAGAAAGCTTTCTTTTAGTTAATTTAGCAATATGGAAAAGTGCATTATTTAGTTAGTACAGATTAAAAAGAAAATTGTTTTAGTCATGGAGGCATGACCATGTGATCCCAGCACTCAGAAGGCGGAGTCAGGAAGATTTCAAGTTCAAGGCCAGATTGGGCAACTTAGCTGGACTTTTATCACGTCAAACAAATAGAACAAACAAAAGATAGAAAATTGGCCAAGTTACTCTTTAAGAGTAAGTAGAACTTCCTTTGTTTTAACAGGATTGAAAAGTTGTTGATTAAATTTGAGCTTCAGTTAAGCAGTCAGTAGTACTCCCCCAAAATGCATGCTCCGTGTTTTACTTGCTAAATCTATCCTGAGAAGTAATGCCATTGTTTCTTAATGCTTTCAATATTGCGAGCAAAATATTTTTCCTAAATTGAACACATGAAACATGCAAATTCGAAGTTAGAAGTAACAAAAGTGAAGTCAAGTTCACCATGTAAAGACGATGCTGATAAGCAAGCCTTTCGAGTTTCATAAGCACGGACTCTGATGTCCATAAGCCCCAAACCCCAGGAAGCACACTTCATTAATTTGCATAGCAGTATAGTGCTTGGAACTTTACTTGAATTTCTAGCATATTTAGGGAATAGAACTCAACGATTTTAAATGATCCCCACTCTTTTTCCATCATAGTGAAATTTTAATACCGTTTAATAATGTTCACCTGGGGCCGATTGGGCAACTTAGCTGGATGGACATTTATCACGTCAAACAAATAGAACAAACAAAAGATAGAAAAGATAGAAGCCTGCTTGAGGCTTCTGGTTCAATTTACAGTTGTATAAAAAATAAATAACTGCTTGGTCTTTCCAATACTCGGGAAGTTATCATTGTGAACTAATTAAAGCTTCTTCCCATTCACTGATTCAAAGGTGAATTCCCAGTGCTTGTTCACTTCTGGTTTACATTTATTTTTTTCTTAACCTTTTTTTTACATTGTTTTATTTATTTATTAAAGATATCTGTCTCTTCCCCACCGCCGCCTCCCCTTTCCCTCCCCCTCCCCCAATCAAGTCCCCCTCCCTCGTCAGCAAAAGCAAACCGGGTTCTCTGCCCTGTGGGAAGTCCAAGGACCACCCACCTCCATCCAGGTCTAGTAAGGTGAGCATCCAAACTGCCTAGGCTCTTTTCTTAACCTTTTTATAATGTGCCAGACATCCTGTTAGATGGCAGAAACAGGATGAAGAGAGGAGAAAAGACCAACAAAGGGGCTGAGGAGATGGCCCAGTCATTAAAGAGCTTGCCACGCAAGTGTGAGGAGAGGTGTTCGAATCTTCAGCACCCAACCTAGGAAGGCAGAGACAGGGGATCCCCAGGTTGGAAAGACCAGCCGGATGCATGCTCCCTGGGTTTCATTGAGAGACTGTGCTTCACTACGTCGGACTTCCAACACTGATCTTGGGCCTCCACATGCATCATACGCACGTGCACAAGCACCGCCTCCACACGCACAACCCCATCCGTGTAAAAACACGCATACTCACATTCAAAAAAATGGAAGAAGAAATAAAGATCAACAGTAAAATTCATGCTGTCTTGCAAAGACTATGAGGTAGACTGAATGCCAACTGTTGCTTCTATGTTAGGGTAAAGGATCTATGTTCAAGAGCTCGAAGCGCTTGTGTAAGAGTCAGGAGGGCTCCAGCACTGTCCCAGCGAACTCCAGTTGCAGCCTCTCTCGAGCATCCTTTCCCAGGAAAGCCCAGAGGACCTGGTCCTTCACTGTCAAGGAGCTCAGGGGAAATCAATCATCGGGGCCTCTCCGCTCGCTAGTGCTCCTGGACTCTTCAGTGTCACAGGTGTTTCCTGGGTGTGCTAGAAAGGTAAGCTAAGTGGATTTAGGTCCTGAGTGGCCTTGTAACCAGACCCTGCTCATCTGTGAAAAGCAGGCCAGGTGGCTAGGGCGATGCCATTTCAAGCGGACATCATCAGAGGTTTGCTTTGGGGCCTACCGATATTTTTCTTCTGGGTAGGGTGTCTTATTTCCTTTGTATTTTTGGATAACAGCCCTCCTGACCATTTCCAACTTTGCAGAGTTTCAAAGCCCTCATGTAGAGCGCGTTTTCCCACTGGAATTTAGTCATGGGAAGGGACTTTGGGGAATGAAGAAACTGGTTTTTAAAATTGAGTCCAAACAAGGAGAGAGGTCTTAGCTGGGGAAACTTGTACTACAAAAGATTAGACCAGGCTGGCCTTGAATTTACAGAGATCTGCCTGCACCTGTGTTTGGAGTGTTGGGATTAAAGGCACGCGTCACTATGCCTAGCTGTATTTGTAAAGAAGTCAATCGAAGTAATAACATTTTTGCAAAAATTAGCCTTCTACAAATGAATTTCCTGTAAGCACAGAAGTTAAGGAATTCTTGTCAAGTGACGCCATTGCCATTTAAGTACGGACCCAGAGGCCAGTAAATGCAGAATAAAAAAGAAAAGTCACCTAGGAAAAAGCAGCTCTTTAATTATGACCCCACTGGGGCTTTGTGATGAATGAACTAGTTGGACCTTTTCTCTATTAAAAAAAAGAAAAAGGAAAAGCAAAAAAAAAAAAAACAACAACAAAAAAAAACCTTTTCTTACCTCACGCCTCAGAGTGACAGCGCTCCTCAACCAGAGGACTACATTTCCCGGCGGGCGCTGCGCATCTCACAGGCATAAGGTGGCGGGCTAGGGGAGCTCCTCCTCCGCCCAGCTAGCCAATAGGAACGGCCGGCTTGGACCCTCGTGCCCGACAAGGAGCACGCGGAAACGAGTGCCCTAAAACTACATTTCCCGATGCGCAAGTATACGAATGTTGACCAATCGGCGCCATGCATTTCGAGACTCGGGGAGGAGCCGGCCTGGTCAGCCGCCCCCATTGGCTAGGCGAGGCTTAGGCGAGCCGGAACCCGGGAGCGAGCGAAGCGCAATGACATTTCCTCTTTAAATAACCGGAGCCGGGGCCCCTTGGAGAAATGGCCGCGTCGGCAGGTGGGTTGCATGGTCCTGCCTCCAAGGTACCGGAGGTGGAAACCAGGAGCGCGGTGCGTGCTCCGACCCGAGGAGGCGACCGTAAGGCGGGAGGGGAGGATGGAGAGGCGGCTGGCGCGGGGGCGAAGATGAATGGGGAGGAGGGCGGTGGGTGGCGCGCCCGCGGAGACGGGGCGTCTGGGTACCGGCCGCCCGCGAGGCGGTTGAGGGGCGCCCTGGCGTTCACCCTCTGTCGCGCTGTCCTCGGGTGGCTCTCGCTCCGCGCTGGTCCCCGAGCCGAGTCCCCGCGCACCGCCGCCGGTTCGGGTGGCTCGCCTCACACCTCCCTCCGCGAGCGCGGCGGTCCGGGCTCGCCGGGCTCCCGAGGTACGCGCCGGCCTGGGAACTTGTTCGCCCCTCGCTGGGCTCTCGGCTCCTAGAGCCTACGCCGGCGGGCTTGTGCCTAGGGTGGGGGGAGAAAACCCACGATGCCGTAACTGGCTTCGAACTTCTTGTGGCTGTACGATTTCTCTCCTCCTAGATTTAAGTAAGTCTTCCCCAACAACGAATGGGATTCCATCTTCAGACACAACCAACGAAGCCATGGACCCCTTCCATGCTTGCAGTATTCTTAAGCAACTCAAAACAATGTACGATGAAGGACAGTTGACAGACATTGTAGTGGAAGTGGATCACGGGAAAACATTTTCCTGTCATAGAAACGTTCTTGCTGCAATCAGCCCCTACTTCAGGTATGACGACGGTAGAAACTTGTATTGCTATCCTATCCTTCATCGCCAGTATTGCACACTTGGTTCTGATATTGAGTTGGGAACAAACAAACAAAGGCAAGCTGTGCGTTTGTTTTCTGAGAACAAGTAACAGGCCTTGCCTTATTAATGTGCCCTTGTTTTGAACTGTGGGATTTTAGAGTTCAGAGGGTTGGGTTTTAAGTTAGTGGACTTCTGTGTGAGGTGTTCCCCAATATGGAAGACGCCACCACACGTGAACATTATGATGCCTTAAATTTAAAACATTCAGTAACTCAGCTGCACTAACTAATACGAGTCAGATGCACACATGTGGCTGGTGGCTGCTATATTGGGCAGCATAGATAATGTTTCAGTCATTGGAAGTTTTATTAGCGAATGACCTGTAATTTATTTTTTAAAATTTATTTTTTTAATTTTATTGTGTTTTTGTTTGTTGTGTTTTGTTTTTTGAGACAGGGTTTTTCTGTGTATCTTTGGAGCCTGTCCTGGAACTAGCTCTTGTAGACCAGGCTGGCCTCAAACTCACCTGCTTCTGTCTCCCGAGTGCAGGGATTAAAGGCGTGCACCACCACTGCCTGCCTTTTTGCCTGCCTTTTCAAAAAAAAAAAAAAAAAACAAACAAAACAAAACAAAAACAAAAAAAATAAAACAAAAAAATTTAAATCGCCGGGCGGTGGTGGCGCACGCCTTTAATCCCAGCACTCGGGAGGCAGAGGCAGGCAGATCTCTGTGAGTTCGAGACCAGCCTGGTCTACAAGAGCTAGTTCCAGGACAGAGAAACCCTGTCTCGAAAAACCAAAAAAAAAAAAAAAAAATTAGTAAATTTTTTTTTTTTTTTTTTTTTAGAGTTTAAACCATAGGAACCTGTTCCTTTACAAATAAATTAGGACTTAGTAGAATGTTTTAATGCCATGGAGTTTTGTAAAATGTAGTGGAATAAATAGTTTATTTATGTTTTAGTTTCCAAGATTCCCAAAGGTATTGCTGTTTTCATTTTCTATTTTTATCATAAAATGTTGAAAAGTGAACATTTTAAACTTTGGTCTGAAAACAAAGAGCAGGTGATTGGAAACGGTAATTTTCTATCTGGACATAATGTTTCAAGTATTTTCTTCTAAAAGCCTTTTGGTACTCAGAAGTGGTTCATATTGTTAGCCACGCTCTTGCTTTCTCTTGGGAGGAGCTTGTAGGGCACGTCCTACTGTAATGTTGCATTCATTAGCTCTTGTTCCTCTTTCTCAGAATGCTGGCTTGAATATAATTACTTGAATCTGTTACTTAAAACCACTTGTCTTGGGTAGATCATTGAACTACTAACTATTAATTATCACAGGATAGTAAGCCAGAAAGAAGAAAACATGAAACAGAGACAATACATATTCCATTTATATATGAAAAAAGATTCAGTGAGTGCGATCTATGTTAATCACGTTGCAGAGCTAGGTTTTATTTTAAAACTAGATTTCTTATTGTGTTATACACTTGAACAAAAATGGGTGAAATGGGTCTTCATTAAAGTTTCTGTTTTAAAAAAGCTATTATCTTTGAATAGTAAAATAAACTGGAGCTCCAAAGTAAAAATTTTCTCATTGAAACTTTATTTTCTAGATAATACCATATGAACGTCATATATAATTAAAATTAGATTTGAATGCCTATACAGAAAAAGTATGGTTACAATAGATTTTAGTTTCTAAGAAGTTAAAAAAAGATGCTTGGAAATATTTCGGAGCATTCATTCACCAAAAAAAAAAAAAAAATGCTGCTAGAAAAACCTAAATACTAAATTCTGCATACAAGTTTCCTGGCTCTCCTGGTATGGGACTCTCAGGAATCACACTTAATAGACTTTAAGGCTTGCATTGCGGGGGAAAGAATTAGAGCAGCTGGAAATGTGACCTGTGCTTTCTGACGCAGCGGTTTCATAATTAATGATTAAGAAAACATTTTGCTCCTTGGATTTTGTGCGAGGGAGGACTCTCAGTGTACTCAAGAGTACATGAAGAACCTTTTGGGAGCTTGTGAAGGTATCAGGCCATTCGTGTGTGTTAGCCTAGCCGGTTGAATGCAGGAGTGGCTCCCACGATAAAGGGATAGGTGATGGATACTCTCCCTTTCTACCCAATGAGGGGCTGGACTTTTCTTTTTATGTGGTAGCTATATAAGTGAATGGATTAGCACCTGAACTGAAAATCAGCTCCAAAATAGGAGCAGTTGGTCTCTAGTTATCAAAGCCAATGGTAATATTAAACTGAAAAATTACGTTATTGAAATAAAAAGATAAGTAGTTTGGATACCAAGTTGAGCCCTTTTACCCTCCAGGTTTCTCATACTATATATTAAAATCTCACACGTTGAGGGCTGGAGAGAGAACTCAGTGGTTAATAGCACTAACTGCTCTTGCAGAGGACCCAAATTTAGTTAGCAACACTCATATCAAGCTACTTACCATCACCTGTAGCTTCAGTTCCAGGGGGACTCAATGCCATCTTGTAAACTCTGCAAACATCTGCACTCACAGCTGGTCAGTCCTCCATATATATACACATAAATAAAAAGCATAAAATCTTTAAAAAACTGAAATCCCCAAGTATTTGATGAGGGTTTCAAAGGTGTTTGCCCATTTTCCCACTTAGGATACTTTTCACAGTGTAACAAAACAAGTTCCAAGTGTCAAGGTTTCCGTTACTTTTATCCCCAGTATGACACTGATTTCTTCACATTCTATTCAGCACCCCAGATGCTCTTCAGAAAGAATAAAAGTGTACATATCTTTTCTCATAGGTCTTTTGGAAGAGTTTTGATATTTAAGAGTTTCCTAGAATGGGGGTTGTGGTAGTGCATATCTTTAATTCCAGCGATTGGGGAGTCAGAGGCAGAAGGATCATCATGAGTTCAAGACCAGTCTAGTCTATATAGTGAGTTCCAGACAACCAGGGCTGTGTAAAAAGACCTTCTCTCAAAACAATGACAGCGAACGGTTCTTTAAGATGAAACCTTACAGAAAGGAAATGATGTTTACAAACAAGTCATACTTAAGAGTCCATTTGTTTTATCTGCTAACTGTTTGGGGAAAGACGGTTTTATAAATATACTCAGTTAAAAAAGAAATAAAAACCAAAGTGTCTTGACTAAAGCAACATATTACAGCTTGGCCAGGCTGTTCTCAAGTTTGCTGTGCTCAGGCTACTGTAAATTCATGGCCGTCCTCTCGTGACAGCCTCCACAAGCTGGAGTCATACACCACTGCACCCACCTTAGAAGCTTAGTCCTGAGGGTATAAGTTGGGGAAATTAAAAATAACTTCTGTAGAATCAGCAATGTGTTGAATGTTAAGAGGAAGGCATTGTATTAACCCTATCATAATTTTTTGTATAGATATAAATAGGTAAAATACAGGAACTTGAACTTTAAAATGAAGTATATCTATTTTAAGGAAAGGTTTTCAAAGTGTCCAAGAATAAGTAAAGTGGTCTTTAAAAGGAATCCAGTTTGAATAGGTATAGGTGAATTCTACATACCTTTGAAGAACGCTCTTCTCTTTCTGAGATGAAAATTGACTTAGTGCATACAAGTTCCCTTGTAATTTTCACTGGGTCGTCAAAGATTTTATTAGACTGGCTTGGTGTGCTAGGGACTAATTTTGCTATCCTGATGATAGCTTGAACTTTGTCTGGGACATTATCATTTCAGGTCCATTATCTGTAAGGCAATTTGACTTGAAGCTTGGATAGGTGTTCTAAGGATTATCAGATCTGAAATATGTCACTTACAGTGTGGTTTCTTAACAATATTCTCCTTTTTCTATAGTTAGCATGTGAGAACAGAATCCTGCCTCCTCCCTTTCCCAGGTCTTATGTCATTCCCCAGGTGAGACTTAGGAACCCAGTTAGCCCAAGATCGGATTAACAAGAGATGCCTATAAGAGTCTTATTAATTTTACTTGCACAGAGGGATTTTTACAAGAAAGCAAAATCCACCCAAATTATTGGAGCATGAAGCATTTATATCTGTTAGACAAAGAACAATGCATTTGTCAAGAAATGCCAGGGTAAGTGGCTATCTGGATTAGGGCAGTAAATTCTAGGGGTGTTACTTAGGGATGTATGAGAGTGGAGGAGCCGCAGGAGCACTTGATGTTGCTTAGGGATGTGGGGTTGAGGAGCCGCAGGAGCACTTGATGTTACTCAGGGATGTGGGGAGTGGGGGAGCCTCAGGAGCACTTGATGTTACTTAGGGATGTGGGGAGTAGAGGAGCCGCAGGAGCACTTGATGTTACTTAGGAGTGTGTGAGAGTTGAGGAGCCACAGGAGCACTTGAAAGGAGGAGTGACTTGAGTCTGTGTATTCAGGCTCACTTCAGCCGCAATTACCCAGTTACTCTGGTGATTCTGGCTCTTTTCCCATTATTGGTATTCAAAGGACCACCATCCTGAAAGAATCTCAGTCTCTTGCTGCATAGAGAGAGGCAGGCCACATGCTCTTCCATCAACTTTAGTTCCCCAGGTGGTTTCAGCTTGAAGCAGTCCACCAGTCTACCGTATTTTTTGACTATGTTTTTAAACTCCTTTGGCACAAGATGGAATGACCCTGAGAACGTAGCTTTTGTGATTAAGTAGAACTAAGTATTTGTGCTAGTTCATCCCTCTTCAGTACATGAGGAATGGATTCATTTTGCTTCAGAAGGGCTTCTCTGTGTAACTTTATACTTCTAAAAATTTTCACTTGTGGTACATATAAAATATTAACCACTTTTTTTTTCTTAGATCCATGTTCACTAGCGGCCTTACGGAAAGTACTCAGAAAGAAGTTCGAATCATCGGTGTTGAAGCTGAATCAATGGATTTAGTATTGAATTATGCCTATACCTCTAGAGTTGTTCTGACAGAGGCCAATGTTCAGGCTTTGTTCACTACAGCTAGCATCTTCCAAATTCCTTCCATACAAGACCAATGTGCTAAGTATATGATTAGTCATTTGGAACCACAGAATTCTATTGGAGTCTTTATCTTTGCTGATCATTATGGTCATCAGGAACTTGGAGATAGATCAAAAGAATACATCCGTAAAAAGTTTCTGTGTGTCACCAAAGAACAAGAGTTTCTGCAGCTGACAAAAGACCAACTCATAAGCATACTAGACAGTGATGATTTAAATGTAGACCGGGAAGAGCACGTTTATGAGAGCATTATAAGGTGGTTTGAACATGAACAGAATGAAAGAGAAGTACACCTTCCGGAAATTTTTGCCAAATGTATACGTTTTCCATTGATGGAAGATACATTTATCGAGAAAATTCCACCTCAGTTTGCACAGGCCATAACCAAAAGCTATGGAGAAAAGGGGCTATCCAACACCAATGGCTGTACGCAGAGGCTTGGAATGACTGCTTCTGAAATGATCATATGTTTTGATGCTGCACACAAACACTCAGGAAAGAAGCAAACAGTGCCTTGTCTAGATATAGTCACAGGAAGAGTGTTTAAACTATGCAAACCACCAAATGACCTACGAGAAGTTGGGATCCTTGTATCACCAGATAATGACATTTACATCGCAGGGGGGTACAGGCCCAGCAGCAGTGAGGTCTCCATCGATCATAAGGCAGAAAATGATTTTTGGATGTATGACCATTCCACCAATAGATGGCTATCCAAGCCATCCTTGCTTCGAGCCAGAATAGGCTGCAAACTCGTGCACTGCTGTGGTAAAATGTATGCAATTGGAGGGCGTGTGTATGAAGGTGATGGAAGAAACTCCCTCAAGTCCGTGGAGTGCTATGATAGCAGAGAGAACTGTTGGATGACTGTCTGTGCCATGCCCGTTGCAATGGAGTTTCACAATGCTGTGGAGCACAAAGAAAAGATCTATGTTTTACAGGGTAGGTGACAGTGGTTCTTCAAGGAAGGGGGAGACTTAGTAAGACAGGCAACATGGGGTTTCCTAACCATAAATTATGCTAGGACATTCTTTCTGAGAAAGTAAAAAAGTTTAAAAATTTAAAATATTTTTAAGTTACTGAAATGGTCCTCTGTTTTGTGTTATGTTCGGATATCATACATTTTTTTTAAAAAAACATAAGTAATAGTTCAGCTATTGCTATTTCAGAGCATTTTTAAAAGCCTTAATAAAAAGGTTATTATACCTGGTTTTTTTGTTTTTGAATAATCAAGAGATGTAGCAACTACTTATGGAACTTAGTGAGTTTATTGGAATTACACTATTCATTTACCAAAGGATTTTTTTAAAAAGATTTATTTATTTTTTATATATATGTGTGCATTTTGCCTGCATTCACTGTTGTAAGGAGGCCACTTGTTTCCCTGCTGCCCGGCAGCTCAGATCCGAAATAATCACACAGAAACTATATTATTTAAATCACTGCTTGGCCCAATTGCTCTATCTTCGTATTGGCTAACTCTTACATATTAATTCAACCATCTCCATTAATCTGTGTATCACCACGTCTTGTGGCTTACCGGCTAAAGTTCTGGCGTCTGTCTCCGGCAGGGCTCCATGGCTTCTGACATTCAGTTCTGTCTTCCCTGGCTAGCTAAGTTCTGCCCTCCTGTAAGTGCAAAGCAGTTTCTTTATTCATTAATGGTAATCGCAGCATACAGAGGGGAATCCCACATCAGTGCACCATGTGCATGCAGTGTCCACAGATCAGAAGAGGGTGTCAGATCCCCAGGAACTGGAGTTATAGGCAGTTGTAAACTGACATGTGGGTTCTAGAAACTGAACCAGGTCCTCTGGTGTAGAAGCCAGTGCTTTTAAACATTAAGCTTTATTTCCAACTCTACAAAACTTTTGTGGTTTTTTTTTGGGGGGGGGGTTATTATATGGGTATTTTGCCTGAATGTATGACTATATACCACATAACTATTTAGTGAGTGCAGAGGCCAGAAGAGGGATACCTTGGAACATGAGTTAAGATGGTTGTGCTGCTGAGAATCGAACTTGAGTCCTCTAATAGAGCAATTAGTGCTCTTAGCCACTGAGGCACTTTTTAGCCCCACAAAGGGTTTTTATAGTTATGAAGCTCAAAATTATGTTTTGTAGCTCTTGGCTTTTTTTTATGGTATGTATATATTTTAAAATGCTATGTATATATTACGTTTGGCCTGAAGGCCAGACATAAATATTGGGTGTCTTTCTCTATTGCTGTTCACCTCACTTTTGAAACAGAATTTTATTGAAACTGGAGCTTACCAGTTATCTCAACTGGCTTGCCATCAAGCCCCTCCCGAATCTTTCTCTGCTCCCTCACTGCTGGGGTTATATGTGTGTACCACCATGCTCTGCTTCTTCGTGGATCATGGGAATCTGAACTTAGATCCCGTGCTTGTATTGTGAGCACTTTTCCTGCTGAGCTGTCTCCCCAGCCCCATACACTTTTCTTAAATGTTTTAGTTGCTGGGATTTTGAATGCAGCATAGATGACTCTAAAGTCTTTATTTTCTGTGTTTCCTAATGGGTTATATGTAAATTATTTCCTTATATGACTACTTGAATCATATAATTGAATGAAACAGGAACAATGTAGGTTTTTATGAAGATATGTGATTATTTTTAAGCCCTATTTCATTTTTAAAAATGTTTTTTTCTCTTATCTTTTGACTTAAAATTTTTGAGAGATGCCTAGACACGTTTGCTTTACGTTGCCTATTCAGTTCTGCAGAACTTAACTAAGGAGTAATATTGTCTGCTACTGTACTTCAGTTAAATGAAAACGTGGCATGATTTGGGCTTATCTTTGCAAAATATAAGAATGTGTGTATAATTCATCCAAGATGGTTATATCCAGTGTGATGGAGTATGCTCCCCGCCTCTATCTCTTTCTTTGTATATTACTGGCAAAATAGTTTATAGAGATAATTCGAAGGCTCCTCAATGGAATATGTGGGCTGTATATTAATGCAAATACTGTATCAAAACAGCAGTGACTTAATAGGCTGCCGTGATCAATATAAATATTTTTTAACCAGAGGCTGTATTTTATATAAGAGGACTCTGAGGCCCCGAGTCTTTTTAATTGCTTATCTTTGGTTTTAGTTTATTAAAGAAGAGTTGAATTTTTTTTTTTCAAGATAGAGTTCCTCTGTAGCTTTGGAGCCTATCCTGGAACTAGCTCTTGTAGACCAGGCTGGCCTTGAACTCACAAAAATCCACCTGCCCCTGCCTCTGTGCAGGCCTTTAATCCCAGCACTTGGGAGGCAGAGACAGGCGGATCTCTGTGATTTCAAAGCCAGCCTGGACTACAGAGCAAGGTCCAGGAGAGGCACCAAAGCTTCACAGAGAAACCTTGTTTTGAAAAACAAAAAAATTTCAACCTGTTCTACCCATAACTGCTGAAGTGTAAGTTTAATCTGCCCATAGAGTCGATATTATTACAAAGACATTATACAATGTTCCCATTAAGCTGGGCATTGCACATGCCTATAATCCCAGCTCTCTAAAGGGTGAGGTAGGATGATCTTAAGGCTGGCCTGAGCTCAGGCCGGAGACCTTGATCTCCAAAAAACGAGCAATGCTATATCATTAGCAAGATTCTTACAGACATTTTCTCATTGGCAGTCTGACTCACTACACTCTTATTGTCAGTTTATAATAGTAACTGACTCAATGTGAATTCCATAAATTGTTTTGAAATTCATCTTTGCTTTATAACGACATTCATGTAAACGCATCAGTGACCCACAAGTACAAAACTAAAGAATTCCGTGTGCTTTTCTAAGCAAATAGCATACACAAATGTAATGGATTTTTATGGTTAAGTTGTATATGTGCATGTTGCCTGTCCTATTCTCCCCAGGGCATCCATACCAATACAGGTTGACTATAATATTACTGTTACTGTGTATGTTTTACAGGAGGCAAATACTTGGAAAACATAAGCTCTTCAGTCTTCAGAGGTTGTAATTAAAGTTGCAACCAACTATCAAAACTTACATACTTGTTTCTTTTCTTTTTTTTTTTTTAGGGGAATTTTTCCTCTTCTATGAGCCTCAAAAAGACTACTGGGGGTTTTTAACCCCCATGACTGTGCCTAGAATCCAGGGCTTGGCAGCTGTGTACAAGGACTCGATCTACTACATAGCTGGAACCTGTGGAAATCATCAGCGTGTGTTTACTGTAGAAGCCTATGATATCGAGCTAAATAAATGGACTCGTAAGAAGGACTTTCCATGTGATCAATCCATAAATCCATACCTGAAGCTAGTGCTTTTCCAGAATAAGCTCCACCTGTTTGTCCGAGCTACTCAAGTGACTGTTGAAGAACACATCTTCAGAACCAGCAGGAAAAATTCTCTTTACCAGTATGACGACATTGCCGACCAGTGGATGAAAGTGTACGAGACCCCTGACCGATTGTGGGACCTTGGCCGCCATTTTGAGTGTGCTGTGGCTAAACTCTATCCTCAGTGTCTTCAGAAAGTACTGTAAGAAGTGGCAGGCCTCAGCACGTCTCTGTCATCTCCTACTAAGGGACCTTGTTTGGAAACGCTGTCGACATTGAAGAAAACAG